TCTCTCTCTCTCTCTCTCTCTCTCTCTCTCTCTCTCTCTCTCTCTCTCTCTCTCTCTCTCTCTCCCCCTCTCTGAGAGAATACAGGCTATATGACTCTCTCTATATGTATATACCATAGTATATATAGCCTATATGCATATTTATTTATATATAGTATTTCCACATGTGTGAGTATATATAAATAGATAGATAGGTAGTATTAATATGTATACATATACCCACCACCTGACCGGAATGCCGTGAAAAATATTTAGGGATACAAATAATGTACCATCTAAACATTCTAGATTCAGCATCAGAAAATGTCAGCTAATTGGACCCATCTTCTGTATCAGGATAGACTCTTGTCAAATTACTTAGGAATGCCGTGAAAAATATTTAGGGATACAAATAATGTACCATCTAAACATTCTAGATTCAGGGTCAGAAAATGTCAGCTAATTGGACCCATCTTCTGTATCAGGATAGACTCTTGTCAAATTACTTGGTAATATACCAGTGAATTTCAAGAAAGTAGATATAGATATATAACCATGCTAAACAGAGAGCTGCCTCTAGGAAAGAACTCTTAAGTAATTCTTAGGGATTTAGCATCAAGGTTTTTTTTTTCATATGCTTCTGTCATTTCTTTAATAAAATTTATAAGCTTTCCTTCTTCATTAATATTTAATATCTAGAATAATTTTTGTAAGTCTCTCCTGAAATTCCTCATATAAAGAACAATTGTGTAAAACAACACACTTTCACATTTTTATTCTCTAGGTTCAAAAACACACTTTGATTTTTCCCACTTTTTAGAGAAAGAGATAATCAAAACTATGTAACGTTCTAAAAAGGGTTGATAAATAGTATCTTATATTCAATTAAAAATAACAGATTTTTTATGCCAAATAGATGAAATGCATTAACTAATAATTAACTGTAATTATTATAACTATCAAGAAGTGGGCTACGCATTCTTATTTAAATCTCACAAAAGACACTTCAGATAGGTACTATTGATTTCTGTTATTCATATGAAAAAAACAAGAATGACAACAAAGTAATTTTCCATGATTACTTTATGTGGCTAATTTTATTTATGAAAATTTTATAACTACTATACTTTTAGATAGAGGGAAAGGAACATGTGTTTTCTCTGATCGTTGTAGTTTTATCATTGATAAATTTTATACTCAGATCTTTTTTACTTAAACATAAAGATGGCCTTGAGTATCTTTATAGAATCCAGGATTCAGAGATCTTAGGTTACACTGCCATAGTATAACAGATATAGCAATTTTTATTTAATGCATGACATATTTATTAACCACATTACTTTATCTTATACATTTAGAAAGATTTGTTTAGTGATGAGATTATCATCCCAAAATTTCTCTCTTTCTTCTCAAATTTCCCATATTCAAGATTATCACTTTTTAAAAAACCCAAAATAGTGACTTGGCTCTTAATATACTTACACACACACGCACATACACGTAAATAAGTAGTTTCAAAGCAAGTAAAATGTAAACACAATATCCATTGAGCACGTAGTTGTGATGGAGACAAAGGTAAAATCATTTTATCTTTTCCTCAGATTGACTGACATCATTCAATATCAATTAGTCTAAAATTATCTTAGATTAAATGAATGATACATCTGGCCTCAGGATCCCATTCTACTAGACTTTATCCAATTTGGGGGGTCAATTTGCTATCTAGTTTTTTTTTTCTAAACTACAAGGTTGAATAAGTAAAAAAAAAGAATATCTCCATAGGTTTATGTGTTTCATATTAGGTGCAGAGAATTCTAACTTCACATGTGATAAAACACTGAGAAGTCCGGAGTCCAGGAAGCACAGAGAAAAAAGGATTTTCTCTTTCCACCATTTTGAAAAAAATTCAGATAAAGAGAGGATTGATCAGTGAGATTCCTTTGTGCTGGCTTATACAGTCTGCCATTTGCTAGAAATAAAAGATAGTTTATTAACAAAAGGTAAATTACTATAGTCTGGACACACTGAGGTATTAATAGAAGCTTGTGAAATGTTTTCATATATCATTTGTTTCTTTATTACTGTTCTGCAGAAGTTATAACACACATTTAAATAATCCTCCCTGAAATGCAAAGTATGGACACAGAGTATATATGTATACTTAACTCATATACAAATGAGAGAAGCACCTTCATCCGGTAAAAAGTGACATATCTATCCACACGCTTGTACCTTGTGTCTACACTTCAAGTGTTGTTCTTCTCATTTAAACTGCTAAGTAAAAGTTACATTCATTCATTCATTCAACTAATGTTTTTGTAATATGGAGACTAATTCTACTTGTTGAAGAGACAAGATTGGGAAAAAGGACAAAGTTTTTGGCCCAGGCAGAACACTATCTTGAACTAAATTTTGAAAACTATTTGCTTTCCTGGAATTTTTTTATTTTTTAATTAAGAGACATGAAAATCAACTACATTGTATGGATAAATTAAAATTAAAAAAATAATTTTTTTTTAAAAAGGTATCTTCCATAGTAATTTAATCTATAATTTCATTTTATTCTTTTTAGTATGTTATTTTTAGTATGTCCTTTGTGGATCTAATTTTATTTTATCATATATGAATAAGTTAGAGTTTAAGAGCATGAATTTTAGAGTCCTTATTTTTACTAAGAAATAATAATAATTATAAAATTGTTATCTCGAAATAAATAGTAATTTTTAATAAGGATTATTTTTTATTTCTGGACATTGGAAGTCATTTTAGCCTTTAGATTTTTACTAGTCCTACCTGCAAATGAGATAAAACCTACCTTATAATTTTATTATAAAAACTGAACTAAATTAAATGCATCTATTTCTGGGATTGATGCATTATAGATTTTCAATTATGATAGCTATCAATGTATTGATGACTCTTTCATTGGCATTTATGTATAACATCTTTTAGTGCTATGTTGCAAAGTAGTCACTTAATCATGCTTTAGAGAGGTTACTTTTACATGGAAAGTTTTGCAAGCTACCAACACTTCAAAAAAGACTATCACATGACCTCTAACTGGAACGTATTCAAGTAATGAAATGCAAAAATATATTGGGACACTAATAAGATAAAAAAAGATCTAAGCAATTCTTATGAGAGATATGGAATTCATCAAATTAATTTAGATTTTGGATTTCTATCATGACAAGCCAAATACCAATTCCTTTCTTTTAATATGTAGTATTCCCAGAAGAGAATGTATTTTGAAGCTTGAATAATGGAAATTTATTTCCAAATACTTACATTTTATAGTCAATGAGAATGGGAAGTAGGAATCATGCCACTAAACTAAAAATATGTTATTTAGCATATATTTTCAATATGATATATTGAAATATTGATATATTGTTTTCAGTAATTTCTTATTTCTTATGGCTTAAATTCTTAATATACTTCTCAAAATATTTTGAATTAATTCTAATTTTCCAGAATCCGAATGATACTGAAATACTGAATATAAAATTTAATCTTGTGCATAATGTGCACAACAGACAGAATACCTGAGCATCCTGTGAAGTACTACATTTTTATCCCATGGTCATGGAATAAACATGACTGTATCTGGAAACTACTTAAAATATTTTTTCATTCCCTATTGTAAAAAGCCTGAAATAAGCTTAATTACCATCTGAGTTTAGAAAACTGATGTTATAACTTGAATTACTAGCTTCCTTAGCTTTCAAGCGTATTTTTTTATTTTTTATAAACATAGTGAATTAAATTTACTTCTAAGAATAATGAAAATAAATGATAATATACTTTAGGTCATTTCTTCTGATCTGTGGGCACACAATGATAATCTATGGGAATGTGTTGAATATTTACTGCATACAGCAGCATTTTAGAGGTTTTTTTCGCTCTCTTATTATTGTTCTCTACTTACCACATCCAACCCCTGAGGCCCACAGCACAGTAATCTAGTCTGTCACTGTAGTCACATTTTTGGCACTTGTGCTTTAACTGCCAATATAATTATAATCATTTTATTATCTTATTGTATGGCTTTCAGTAATTAAAAGCTCTTTATTTTTAATGTTTAAGATCTTCTGATAAAATCAAAATTTTATTACTGACACCTTGAAAAACGTTAACAGTGTAAAATGACCCTTACAGTTAGTTACACTTCCTTTGGATTGCAAGTGTTGTTGAGTTCTTTGCAAAGTTGTGATATCAGAGGAGAGGGTCTGAGAAAACCCACCCCATCCTCCAGCAGGTTCTTGACTCCACCACAGGAAAGAATTCAAGAGCAGAGTCTCAGTACAAAGTGAAAACAGGTTTAATGTAGCAGGTAAGAAGTATAGGCTTCACAGAGGAAGTGCGGCCCAGCTCCAGAGACTGAGCAGGGCATGCAACAAGTTTAACACAAAAGTAAGA